GGGAAGACGTTAGTGCTACCACCATAAATAATTGTTGGAAAGCTACTAAAATTTTACCAGAAAATAGTGAGCCAAGTAAAAGTGAGTTAGGTGGAACCGAGTTAGATGAAAGTGAATTAGGTGAAAATATGTTAGGTGAAAATAAGTTAGGTAGAAGTGAGTTAGGTGAAAGTGAGTTAGAAGCGATCAAACCCAATATCCCTAAGGTTGATAATATTAATATGTTAATTGATGATTTTTTAGTTGATGATAGTCCGAAGGTTCAACAATTAATACGGGATATTGAAGAATACAGTAAATTAATCGACTAACCTGTTATAACCGAAGATATACTCACAGATGAGGGTATAATTGAAATGGTAAAGCATGACTTTGAAGATAATAGTGAAGTTAGTGACAATGATGATGAACCACCACCTCTGCTACCAGTAACTATTATAGAAGCTGTAGAGGCGCTTAAGAAAATTATAAGATATCAGGAGGGCCTTGAAGCCAGACAAGGATTCGATAAAAATGGACTAAAAATGGTAAGAAAAAATCTTAGAGAATGGAATTACGAAAAAGAAAAAAATAAAACACAAAGTTCAATTTTGTCTTTTTTTAATTATGATGATTTAAGAGATGTCAAATACTAAAGAAAGCCTGGTGATTATAAAGTTGCTACTACCAGTTTTTAGAGGTATGGGCCTATTCTATTAATATTATTCTATTTTTTTCTATAATTTTATGGATTTTATATTTACGATCAACAAATTTATTATATAACTTGCTAGGAGTTATTTAGAAGAAACAATAGGAGATCTTTATAGGATTTTAATTGTTAGAATAGTAAGAGGTTGCCCAGAGATGTTATTTTCTGAATTTTGGTAAATTTTTTTTGATTTAGATCAAAAAAAAAAATACAAAAAAAAAAAAAATTAAAACTAGCCGTTTTTTATAAATTTTCGCATTACTACAATTAAGGGTGCAGCCATATAACATTTTGCCTTTATAATTCTCCAGAAATTCGAATTGTAAATTTTTTGAATGCTTTTTTTTTTAATTTTTTTCTAAAAAATAAAGCCACTACTATCAGCTTAGAAAAATAGTTCAAATGCTATAAAGACAAGCTTGATTACTGAATCAATAATCACGAATCTATTTGAAATGAGCTGTAAACTTAAATTAAATTGTGTGATATTGAATTATAGGATATATAGCACACTTTTTAAACTTAATACTAATTTAAAATTTTACAGTTAGTATGTCTAGGATTTATTATAAAGTTGATAAGCTTCGATTTATAAGTGAGTCTGAACGAAGCTCTAAAAGACCGTAGAATTCTAAAATATATAGAGACAATGTTTTACTAATGATATGTTTTTCCGACAATCTGGTGTTATAATAAATTTTTTTTATTTAGGGGATGGCTAAAGCAAGGTGCAGTTAGGGTTAGCTTCTTTAATGAAGTTAGGGTTATAATTTTATAAAAATATCAAGAACACAATTTATGCTGTATGTAGATTAATATGTAAACGCATCTTGCTTTAACAGACCCCTTTATTTAGTATTATAGTTTGATCAAGACTCAGAGCATGTATAATCGAGGCTTTAACTCTCAGTAAGGGTAAAGAGACTTTTATCAAGGGTGAATAGCCCTCAGATAAGGATAGATAGCTGCTAGCGAGGGTTCAGAACACCTCAAAGTTAATGTGTAAATGCATCAAACTAATAAAGAGAATATATTCTTACTTGTTGTATAATAGTAATAACATACTCCTTTGCTAGCTAACTACTCTCATTAATAACTAATTATCATTAAAGCTGAATCTCTTATCTTGCTAATTATGCTATTAAAATCTGTAATTATTACTCTCCCAATCTCAGGTGTAGCACTGATAATTGTCTAGCATATTTAACTTATATTACTATTTTTGAAAGAAACCTGATATGTGAAATATAAATTTGGCCTACTTTGTGCAAGGAATATTTGGCTCTAAACCATGACCTATAATATTTTTTTTTTTTTTTTTTTTTTAAGATGTTTTTCGGGACCAAGCTTTTATTGATGTTTGTTGTTGATCACATAGATCTACATTTTAGTATTACAGAAGTACTACCCACCAATTATTTCTAAGCTAGGTACCTTTATACCGAAGTGCTCCTTACTAACTTACCTGAACTTGGTTACCCCGTTGGTTATCCATAGATCCCCACAGGTAGGTGTAATAGATGCCCTCCTAATTTTTCTATGTCCTACACATTTCTAAATTAGGTTCAGAGAACCTATCTGCTATGGCCGAAACCAATACTAACAGTCAGGGCTAACCATTAAACCGCACAATTTCTGGTTCTCCTGCCTTTATAAAGTTCACTCAAACCCCAGTACTCACTATACAGACTACCATCATACTTCCAGCT